ATGTAATCAGAGTTTAAATGTAATCACCGTTCTTAATTATGTTTCGAAGAACACTTCGAACACTTTTTCTTGAAGAAGTTCAAATAGCTCCTTATCTCAACGTGAACATGTGCTGAAGTGTTTTTGCAATATTGAGAACAGCCATTTGTGGTTACAATAACACTTAATCAAAAACTCTATGGTGATTAGAGAAACGACGGGTACTGAAGCAGAAAACAGGGGGGACATTACGGTCAGCAGTCAGATGGAGCATATCATTGCTAAATACCGTCTTTCAGGCTATCCAGATCCTAGAAACAATATTGTTGGAACCTCAGAGGTGACCAAGGTGGAGAATGTCCTGTAGATCAAAGTGTTCAGCTTTTCAGCCACAAAGTGAAGCTTTTGTGATAATTATTATTAGCTTTCGGCCTATAGGGCTTGGTCTGTTTAATCTATGATGTTAGTTAGCCAGGCTAGTTTTGCTAGAACAGGTCAGGGAAGAGTTATAGACCCGGCAACATTTTATGAACACACAAAGCTAGCTGGCTGAAGATATAATTGAGAACATTTTAATCATACGTTAAACATACAGAGAACTTCAATCACATCTTGTGTGGAGATGAACAGAGCCAAGTTGTCACTGCGCTGCAGCCTGACTGATAATAACCTGCATACAGGTCCCTGTCAGCCGATATTAGTCATTTTAACACTAGTAGACACTTTGTTATAAGACTAGTAAAGAAAGTCAAAATGGAGATATAGGTTACTTCATCCATCCTGTTAAATCCATTAAAGAAAGCAGAATCTTTGAACAGATCTATTTTTTTTGGACCTGATCCAAGTCCAATCTGATAATTATATTTGCTTAATTGTTTGTTAAATGTGTGTCTGACACATATAAATAACAGGTGTAGCCTGCAGAATGAACATATCATAGTGACAGCTGTCATAAGTGTCTGTCAATTTGACCGGTGAAAGCATCAGCAGCTCACGTGAGAGGCTGCTTCCTGAATGTATGATGGCTTGTTTGAAGAGTCTGCAGCCATTCTAGCTGCAGTGTGAGGCGGTACTTCAACAAATTGGATTTTTGCTATCGGCATGCAAATATCTAAATGTAACAGTATACCATGTAATGTTTTTCAATTTCATTAATCCCAAGAGCTGAGGCTGATTCTGTAGCGAGATTTGTGACAAAACATCCAGTAGTTAACGAGACGTTTTACTCAAACCACGAAGGTGAACCAATGCATGCACCAGAGTGAAAGTCAACTGGACCCTAACATCATTATGGTACATCTTCTGGAAACTATGAATGTTTCCAGTCCATGGAAAACTGAAATGCATTTCAATCCATTCAGAGTATATTGAGACATTTTGCCAGCTAAAGTAAAACTTTGTGCCTGATAGCCCTGTAAGACAAGTAAGGAGATCACTAAATAAGCCCACTTCCTCCTTTTAGGACCATGATTAATTTGACTAACTTCAATCGCAATTTATTAAAAAGTAATAAGATATTTCAGTTGAACCAAAGTGAGGCACCAGCAGGCCAACGTAGCCTCCCTAAAGCGCTGAGAACGTGTCCATAAAACCTTGATGTTTTATATAAAACTGTGCAGAAGCAGAATGAGCAGAAGGGAATATTTTACCTGCTAAAATGATAGGTGTGTTGTGAGCTGCACTTCATTTGCTTTGTTGCAGAGCATTGCAATATAAGCTCATAAGTGATTACTCAAAGTCAAAGCATGATTACTCCTGTTTGACGGATGGGAGTTCAGTAATAAGCAGAAGCTATTATTTATGGAGATGACTTCATGGGCAGTTAGCAAGATATGAGTGGGCAAAAGTCATCAAAAATTATTTTGTTTTTTGATTTGGAGTAAACAATAATGTGTTTGCCTCTCCCCTAAAAAGACGTGAAGTTGGAGTGTCATTGCAGGCTCTCTGCAGACCACAAAGATAATTATGTGTTGGTCCTATTTATTACTTTGTACTTCCAAATCATATTGAAAAGCTTGGTAGATGTTGTGACCATCTGCAGATACATTTTTCAACAACCAGGACTGGAATATTAATCTTGTACTTCACAGTTTATCAACATATTGAAGGCTGAAGAGTTTGAAAACCATTAAAACCCATAATAGAGAACCAAATGTGATTATTTACTTGTGCCTTTAAACTTAAGCTTAGAGTTAAGTTGATGTAATTTTTGGAAATCCTCCTGGGACCCGAGGGAAAAATGTGTCTTCCAATTTCCTTTTTTTTGTGATTTCCTACCTATTTAGGCTTAAAAAATTGCTTTCAGAACTAATTGTTAATAAACAAGAACATATATGATTTTCATGGTAAAAATTACAGTTATTCAACAATATTTGACTTCTCCTCCTGCTTCTATAAAATGTTGTTTTTGGTATGCCAGCCATTTTGGATGAAAAGAAAAAGGAACTTCCCAGCAAATGCAATTTTAACCATTGACATATCACTGGAAAGAGCAGGATGTCCTCTGTACAGTACATCAGGGATTGATAGAGTAGCTCAAAAGAGTAAAAGGAGATGCATTTGATCAAAATCTCCACTACAGTTGACATTTTCAATGGGCTGGGTCCCAGGAGGATATCCAATTGAAATGAAGATTTCCTGATCGAGGGCAGATTCAGAGAAAAACATGGGCACCCAGCATGACAATCTCTATTGAAATGTAAATATTTCATAGATAAGTAATGAAAAACACAATGACTCATATCTGCTGACTGCACTCAGATGGCATATTTAAATCCAACATGAAGCCACTGTTCCTGGAATAGATTTAAAACACTGGCACAGAAGTGATATTGAGCAAAGCAGGACTTCAGTATCTGCACAATAATGTAACGGGTCTTCACAAGTCACTGAGACATTTTTACAGCAGTATGGATCCTCCATTTCATTACTAAATGTAATTTATTCCGAGTGGACACACAGATGGACATGGTCATTAATAAAGTCAGGGAAGAGTTATACACCCAGCAACATTTTATCAACACACAAAGCCAGCTGGCAGGAGATATCATTGAGAACATGTTTTAAACATACAGAGAACTTCAATTACATCTTGTGTGGAGACGAACAGAGCCAAGTTGTCACTCCGCTGCAGCCTGACTCTGATAATAACCATCTGCCTTGTAGAAGAGTTTGGCTAAGATAGGATTCCTCTTCAGTCTTTCCAAGCTATTTTACAGACAAACTCTGCTGAAAGTCTTTTGAATATCAGAAACTCACCCCCTCTAGTTTCCTCAGCAGCTTTGGTCATCTTGAATTTAGTCAATTATAACGGATTCAATTGGTGACAAGTTTTAATGGCAAAAAAAGGCTATCAGCTTGAACTACAACTAACAGTTACTTTCATTGTTTAATTTAGTCTATGAAATGTACAAATAAATAGGGACATCAATGTTTTGATATCTAACAATATCTATTATTGTCCCATCAACAGTCAAACATCCAGTGATATTTAATTTAGAACAAATATAAAGCGGAGAAAAGCCAGCAAGCCTCATATCTGAAAAACTGTAACCAGAGGTTGTCTAGTAGTAGGAAGTTCCAGAGTTATATTCTGCCACTAGATTAAATGATTTTGAGTAATCCTCAAAGTTAATAAACCCACGCTCAACAGCAAGAGTATAAGTGGCTCTCCTATTGACCTAGTGTCCTCCACTAGTCACCATCTGCAGGGTCGGCTGCAGCCATGTGCATCCAGAGGTCGGCCGTAACAATTTCAGATTCATTGAAAAGAATCAGACCACAGCTGTGGTTTCAGATTTGAAGTAGCATAAACTCCCTTTTACACTCCGGCTGTTATGATAACGATCAAGTGATTATGCCAACATTAAAAACCTATAATGCTGTTTGGTGGGTGCACAAGATAACTTCATTATGTTGCTGTATTTCGCGGTGCTGATGGTCCCTCTGACAATCCTCAGCTCCTCATCTCAGAGAGTGAAATGGAAGCTCTCTGCAGTAATTCACTAGTTCTAATTAATACAGTCCAAATCCAAGTTGAATGTATTGCTCCACTGCTGATACATAATCTCTAATGAGCTGGAGAGTAGAAGAAATTATTACAAGATAAATAACTGTTATATAATACAGCTTTGTTAGCAGTACTGCACTAAAATAATACATGTAGGTCAAGACCAGAAATATATCTTAAACTACTTTGATAATTAAGTCAAAAACAAATGTTGGAAGCATTGCAGCCTCTCTTATATTTACTGTTGAACCCTGTTTATGTTGAAAGTCCAATCTGTTTTGCTTCATTCTTGCATTTTATACAGTATACTTTGGATTTGAACCGTATTTGCAGTTTATTGTTATTTTCATCGTAGACTTTTATGTTTGCACACTTCCCATTTGGTATTCCAACTGATTCACAGTTCCCTTATGATAAACAAAGTCGTATCGGATCTTATCGTAAATGTCAATATCTGCTCTCTTTTCTTGTCTTAAACTATTGTTGATAACATAGGGTTATGGCCTTTTGGTAACTGTGATTGGCATCCTTATGTGATTTACATATTTAAAAAAATGTATTAATCCGAAAAATGATGGGCAGTTATATCAATAATGAATATCATAGTAATTCGGTGCCCTTCTACTACATTAAAAGCTATATTTTCCTATAATATCTGACCTGAGACCAACACACAGTATCACTGCTGCTGGTATTGTGCATTTAAAGCTAGGATGCTGTTCCTACTAGCTGTCTCTCTCCTTTGGTGACTCTTCAGTTGTTTTGTTTCCGGAGAGCAGCTCATTTCCCACGACAAACATACAAAGCTCTTGTCATATCTGTTCATGGCTTTACAAATAAGAAATACGCCTAATTAGCGATATCTCGGATGTTCTTATTTTTTACGTAGCGAGGGACAACAGAAAGAGAAATTCCTTGGCGACATGATTCATGGTAATGTTTTTATTTCATCATACTGGGCACAGCAGCGAGGAAGTGCAGACAGCTTGGAGGCTCTGAGTGTGTTGGCGTGATGCCTGAGTTCTGCAGTGGGCAGACCCAGTGTGGTCCTGGCACTGCCAAGCAGGCCTCACCCCCCCTGGAGGAATGTTGGCCCCCTTTAGTGTTAGAGGAATCACGCTTCTCAAAAAATGAGTCTTTAAAAGCCACATTTATGAACCACCGTTGGGGATGCAGCTGTTTCACGGTCCAATTGTTGAGACCTGCTATTTTGAGCAGCTTTGTGAAGTCTTGACTGTTAAGAAACACAGTAAACGTGAGAAGAACATATTTAAATGAAGGCTTATATCATGGAGTATATGGGATCACTTAGATACGATAGAGAAAAGCTAGTTTAGCTCCCACTCCTGAATTTGTCACCTGCGATGTCGGAAGGCAAGTCCAGTTTATGGAGCAGAAATGATGGAATAGTTTTGGTTTCACTTTCGATTGTTCAATGTCTGATTTATTTCCTGAATGGACTCGTTAGAGGTTAGATTGTGGAGTTTTGTGTCTCTGCTGCACTCTCTGCATAGCTCTTAGTAGCCTTGTTTACACAGGAAGGATGTAATTACTTGGATTTGTATGTATACAATATGACTTAATCCCAGAAAAATACTCAATTCAGTTCATTTGCATTCTGCCAAATTTAAAGGTAGGGTATGTAATTTATTTCAGAAACACTTTTTGTTATATTCCATGGAATGCTCTTAACACCCCGATAGCAATGAATATATTAAATGCTTTGACAATAAATACATTTAAAAAAGTCATCTGTGGAAGCTGTAGCGCTGTAAAAAGCACGACCAATCATCTGAGCCGGGCTGGCTAAAATAACTGGATGGCCTACCTGCCTGTCAGCCTTCCATCTGTGCACAAACTTATCTCGTGCCCTCATTGGTCATGTGCGCGTTCGTGTGTGTTGGAGGAGGGGCTCTGTAAGGAAGTCTGAAGGAAGAGGCATATTTTTTCCGGTTGTGTATTTTCAAATTCTAGCGCACTCAAGCTGGTTTCTTCAAAATTACATACTCCACCTTTAACTTTACTAAAGCTACAAAATGAGAACAGCTGAAAACTTTTGCCACCACTATCAACTAAACAGCTGCAATCAAAATCAGAATACACTATACACAGATTTTGATTGAAGATAGCATCACATTCTGAGGATCTCAATCTCTTGGGAATCAAATCACACATAATTGAGATGCAGTCAAAAACATAAATGCAGGTTTTCTGAACAACAGATTGGACTTACTTCAAAAACACAAAAGCTAAACAAAGAGCCTCAGCCTTCAGAACTTGGTGATTCAAAACAAAACAACTAGGCTGCACACCTGTGCTGCAGTACAAAACCGATTTCTCCCATATGTGCTAAAACGAATAATAGTTGTTGTTGAACTCTATCAGCACAAAGCTATTACCCACTTAAAAACCTCAAATCAACACTTCTATTATATGTGTTTTGAACCTGTTGTTTACGAAAATGGCGAAATATGTATTTAATAGCACAATACTTTAGCCAAAATTAGGGTTATACAATTAGGTTTGGGCAATATGACCAAAATCTTCTTTAACGATACATCATTTCATTTAACAATAACGATATATAGTATATATATGAACAGTATGAACATAATACTCGACAAATTATATGTATTTTCCTCCTATATTACAATATTATTATATGTTTCCACTTTCCAAGTTCATTTATGGAGATTTATTTGTCAAGCTATACACCGACTATAATATCATGCATGCTCATAAAGATAGAGAACATTGGAGTGAGTATCTACTTATCTGATCAATTTAGATGCCGTAATTATGTATCGGCCCACATAGGGACAGTGTTTGTTTATGAGTGGATGACTTCAATGTCTCCTTTAGGGGTACATTTACATAAATTCACCCTCCCTCATATCAAACCGAGCGGATAGTTTTGGCTTTTATTGTCCAAGGTTTTGAGAGTTTGGCTGCTGAGGCTCTTCGCTGTCACCACAGTACAATTGAGAATAATGGCATTTCATTCATGGGGCTCAAAGGATCAACAAATGAAATTGAAAAAGCCAACTGTGCCTTTGTGCCAGTACAATGTGCCCTTCCAGAAAAACTGTCCTCAGAATCATCTAACCTCTACGTGAGTAGCACCATTTTTAACCATGAAAATTAAAAAAACATTAAAAAAAAAAAAAAACATAAAAACAGATATGAGTAAATTGGTCAACCCACAATAAACTGAACTTAATAAAGTATCTCGGTGAAAATATGAATTATGTTACCTACTGTACAATAACATTTGAGTTCCTAACAAATGCCGGCGTCTTCAAAGCAGTAAATCTCTGCAGGGAGCAGTAAGTGTTGTCACAGACGCCAGGCCGTGTTGACGAATGGATATTTATGACAGTGGGAACCGTAACAATTAGCATTAGCTTTCATCAGGATTCTGGGTTAAACTACTCCACTCATGAGGCTCCTCAATGCCTTTGAACATTAAAACAGTTAATTGAAAAGAAGGAGGATGGGCCACTACAGAACAATCGCAGAGAAGAGATGGCAACATCTACATGGGGGCTTTAAATAGAGCTATGTATCACTCAGAATCTAATGCCCTAGCCACACGGTGACGAAACGGGTCATCCGCTACAGTTCTCTATCTTATAGACGGTTCGGCACGAGGCCGACAGGGAAACGCAGATAACGATAACGGGTCCGAAGGTTGGTAGATCTGCGGACGCAACGCTCTGGGGGGCCAAACGGCTCCGTGATTACGCCCTATATGATAATTTCGTGGTAACGAAAATACTGACGGTCAGGAGAGGGGGAGGAAAAGAGAGGCTCTTTGTATTATTCTTATTATCATATAGAGTCGTTATTCATTTGTTTTAAAGCTCAATAAATAACAAAGAAGACCTCTGACCGGCACTTTTATAATTGTGTCCGGAAGATTTAAAATTGAACGGACATGTTGACCGGCGAAAACAAATTCTAGCGGAAACTCTGCCGCACGTTTCCCTCGTCCCTTGGAAGAGGCGGGGGGGTGGTTGTTTTTGGACTAACCGGAGAGATTTACAGCAGG